GGACCCACTCAAAACTGACCACTTATTGGAATACTCAAAAAAAAAAAAAAAAAAAACTGATCAGAGAAGAATCCAGTGAATTGTGTGCTGCCTCCAAATCCACTGTTGTGGGATAATCTTTTTGTGTGCTAGCTAGTTTAATTAAAAAGCTGAATGGCAATAGCTAGGCAGAATTTTGGGGGCACAGAGGACACTGGGAAGAAGGGTGGAGACACGGAGAGTCACCGGCCAGATGGAGTGGAAGCAGTATGGGTACACAGTAAAGGTAACCAAGCCACATAAAAGAACATAAATTAAAGATATGGGTTAAGTTGTAAGAGCTAGTTGGTAACAAGCCTAAGCTATGGCTGAGCTTTCCTAATTAGTAAGTTTTTATGTGGTTATTTGGGAGCTAGCTGGTGGGACGCAGTCCAACTACACACTGTACCTTTTTTTGTTTTGAGCCAGGGTTTATCTGTGTAGCAGTCTTGGCTGTCCTAGAACTCACTTTGTAGACCAGGCTGGCCTTGAACTCACAGAGCTCTACCTGCCTCTGCCTTCTAAGTGCTAGGATTAAAGGCATGCACCACCATGGCCTGGTTTTGCAACTCCTTAATGGGGGTGGGGGGAGGCTCAAACAACAACTTGTCCTTTACCTTGAAAGGAATAGTTCAGGCCATCAAGATGACTTGGTAAGGCCGGGTGTGATACACAACTTTAGTTCCACCTCTCAGGAGGCAGAGGCAGGCAGATCTACCCATGTTAGAAGACAGCCTGGTTTACAAATCAAGTTCTAAGACAACTAGAGCTACACAGAGAAACTCTGTCTTCAAAAACAAAAAAGTGGCTTGGTAAGGATGCCTTCTACCAAGCCTGATGACATGAGTTCAATAGGGACCTACAAGGAAGGAGGAAATTGACTCCTGAAAGCTATCTTCTAACCACACATCTGTCTGTCTGTCTGTCTCTCTCTCATACACACACACACACACACACACACACACACACACACACACACACACACACACAAATGTAAAAGAAAGAAAGGAATAGCTCACCATACCCTAGACCAGTGGTTTTCAACCTGTGGGTTTTGATCACTTTGGGGTCAACTGACCTTTTCACAAGGGTATCCTAAGACCATCAGAAAACAGACATTTATATTATGATTCATAATATTAGCAAACTAGTTATGAAGTAGCAACAAAAACAGTTTTATGGTTGGAGCCACCATAACTTGAGGAACTGTATTAAAAGGGTCACACCATTAAGACAGGTGAGAACCACTGCCCTAGACCATTAGGACTCCAGAAGTCTTATGGACTTCTCGAGGAATATCCCCTTTCAGCACACTTTCTTATCAAGGTGGCTGAAATAGTTGCTAATTCCAAGAAGCCTGTTGCCAGTGTCATAGATCAGTGTGGCACAGAGAAGTACGAGGTCTCTGGAACAAGGCTGTAACAGGTACAGGGGGACAGAATCCTAAATGTGAATGAACCTTTCTAGTCTTGACAGTTGCAAGGAGCAAACAGTTCTTGATGGTCTTGACTATAAAGTTGTTGAGGGCAAAGACATTCATTAGATCACTCAATACACACTGATCAGGGAATGTTCTTTCAGAGGGACAGGTTCCAGCATCCATGTGGCAGCTCACAACTGCCATCCAGCCTATAGTCTTTCATCAAGCTTAATCATCCTTCAAAACCTAGTCCCTTCTTCAAAAGCCTTCCTTTTTTACTTATCTTTTATCTTTTTGAGATAGCATCATCCTATTGCCAGGGGTTGGTTGGAAATCCCCAAGTAACCCAGGCTGCTCTCAAACTTGTGGCAATTCTCCTGCCTCAGCCTCCTTTCTAAGTGCTGGGGTCACAGGGCTGAGGCACTACACTGGGTAGAGCTATCCTTGACTGTCTGGTTTTGATCTCATTAGGTTTTCTCTTTCCTGGCAGCTGGTCTAGAAAGCATTCAGGACAAGAACTGCATGGCTTAATAACTTTGTGGTACTGGGTATCAAACCCAGGACTTTGCCCATACAAAGACAAGCCCTCTACCAACTATATCCTCCACAAAATACTTTGGACCAAGCATGGTGGCACAGGCTGTTAATCCCAGCACTGGGGAGGCACAGGTAGGTGGGTCTTAGTGAGCTTGAAGTCAGTCTGATCTAAATATCAAGTTCCAGCCAGAGTTTAATAGTAAATCCCGTCAATAAAATACAAAAATAAATAGTTGAGAATGTAGTTCTATTGGAGTGCTTCTTTAGTGTGCACAAAGCCCTGGGTCTTTGTAGCACATAAAACTGAGAGTTTAGCCTATAATCCCAACCATCAGACGAAGCGGGGCGATCAGGAGTTTAAGGTCATCCCTTCTGCATAGACAGTTGGAGGCCTGCATGGGCTACATGAATGCTCTCACAGATGATAATAAACAGTCAGGTGGTGGTGGCACACGCCTTTGACCCCAGCACTTGGGAGGCAGTGGCAGGGGAATCTCTGTGAGTTTGAGACCAGCCTGGCCTACACAGCAAGTTCCAAGACAGCTAGGGCTGTAACAGAGAAACCCCGTCACAAAAAAAAATCAAAATAATAATAAACTAAACAGAAAAAATGTTGTGGTGGCCCATGCCTTTAATCCCAGCATTCAGGAGCTAGAGGCAGGCACAACTCTTGCGTTTGAGGTCAAACTGGTCTACAGAGCTAGTTCCAGAACAACCATTGAGAAGTCCTGTCTCAAAACACCAAAAGACAAACAAAAAAGAAAAGTCTGACCTTTTTGGCCTAATGAATTTACAACTTGGGCCTATCAACAAAATAGAAATATATATGTATACACAAGCAAATTTTCTTTGCCCTCCTATTAGACTGTAAGGGGATGCAAAAACCCACCACCCTGAGGATTTTATAAAAGAAAACCTCAACACCAATAGTCAAGGTAGAAATGCCATTTTCAAGAAGGTGGTAGAACAGGCAAACATGGGGTACATGGTCCACTTCACCACTGTGTGTTCTCTTAGGAGCCAGCTGCCATTTCCTAGGGACAGTCAGGACAAGACAGGTTCAAACACGCCCTATACTCTGAAAGACCCATGTAAAAAGTGGACTGGAAACTGCCTCTTTGAAAGTTCTTTTATTCGCTAACTCCTCAGACACATGGTTGGCAGAAAAGGCCTCTCCCTCCCCTTCAACATCTTTAGAAAAGGCCTCTCACCAGACCTGGGTTTTCCTCCTTGGCAGAATGGACAGGCTGGTCCACCATGAATCTCTCCTGAAGTAAGAGCCCTCTCCCCCAGTACTTAAGTCAAGCATTTCCCCCATAACTCATAGGTGTGGAACTGACATCTTAATTGTCAAACCACTGCCTTTGGCCTGGAGAGATGGCTCAGTGGTTAGGAGCACTGGCTGCTCTTCTGGAAGATCCAGGTTCAATTCCCAGTACTCACATGGAAGTTCACAATTGTCTATTAACTCCAGTTCTCCAGGATACAACAGTCTCACACAGATATATTCAGGCAAAACACCAATGCACATAAAATAAGAATAAATAAATCATTAAAAAAAAAAAAAAAAAAGATTTCCTGCCTCACTTCAGGCAGACCCATCCAAAATGGAGTCATCTTCTGTGCCTAACCCGTCACAATGGCACTCCCACGGAAAGGCACAGGAAAACTGCAGACTATTTGAAAACAAAATCTATAAAGTTTATTAGTTCTTTTCTGTCTCCCCACAGAAACTTGTATTCCATACTGTCATAGCCCAGGGCATGGGCACCTCTGAGAAGACCAGCTGTGGATTCTGGGATTATCTGGAGAGAACTGCCCTTCCTTCAGATACAACAGCCACTTTGTGTTTCCTAAGGCCTCTCCTTGCTGTTCTTCACACAACACATCCTCTCTTCTGGAGCCCTCTTGAGCTACAAGGCTGATCCCTTCTTCTGGTGCACTATGACAGGGATGGAGTTCCTGGGCTCCTATGGCCTTCTATCAGGCCTGTGGGTCCTCTGTCCCCCCAACTCCCACACTCTCTAGTGCTTCTCTTAACATCACAATCCCCCACACCACCAGCAGTTCACAAAACTGTATCCCCTTGGCTTTCAGAGCCCTCCTGTGGCTTCCCACTGTTTTGAGGACCATCAGATGCGCCACATCCTCACCACCACACCACTCCCTCATAGGGAATGGCCCCTCCCCCAAATGCTCTTCCACACCAACCCAGCTCTTTCTGCAACTTCCAGAAAGCTGTTGATAATTATTCTAGTTAGAACTAGTCTCCCATCTCCAGCATAGGACTTTCCAAGGTGTCTAGGAGACTACTCATTTCACTGTTTCCTTGTGGTGGAATCCATCTCTTGAACTAAGGAAATACAATCCTGAAAGACAAGGTCCTGTCAGACATCCTGTTTCTTTCACAGGGCTCAGTGTTTTGTGCATAACCTAATGGGCCCTTCAAAGAAATGTCTTAATGGACACAAAATGAGAAGATTATCAGTTTCCAGGAAAGACATGCATCCTGCTAGGAATGGACTACTTCCCAAAGAGCCCTAAATGCTTTTACCAAATATACACTTGGGGCCTCAAGTTGAGTTGAGAATGAATGAACTAAGAATGTGATCAGCCATCAAGATTTCACCCATCAACTGCCTGGAAGAGCAACCCAAAGGTCTTGCTTCCAGAACCATTTGTATTCACAAGCTTTTCCTAGTAAGTACCACTAGAGATCTTAAAACAGCTCTTCTGCAACTCATCAGGACATGCAGAGAGGAGCAGTTCAAGGTTTGTAGTTGATATTTTGGGCAGAGCCACCTACTGTTTCTAGCTGTGGGATTTGGGAACGTCCTCTGTGAAAGATGTCAGGAGTGAGAGGTTCCCAAGGACCAAAAGGTCATGTGTGATTTAGGTGCATGCCAAGTCCCTCCTAAATTTGTTTGCGGTCACAAGCTTCATCGCTGAATGTCTCCTGCTTCTCTGGGAGGAAGAGAACAAACATCTGGAAAATTATGACAAAAATTACAGGCAGCCACTGGCATTTGTGTTCGCATTTGTAGTTCCTGGTTTTTGTTTTGTCTTTTAATTTTTTTCCTAGAAAAGAAAAACACAACCAGAGGAATTTATATGACAAACTATCAGTGTAGAATGGCAGAGATAAGAGAAAGAAAGGCCAGAGGAAATGAAATCTAATAAAAAGTGGGTTCCAAATCACAAGGAACAGTCCACAGGGTCGAGTCCTCATTCACTTTGGCATGCATGTTTGGTGCCTGGTCTTCTGGCCTGTTCCCTCAGATGCAATGTTAGAGAGAGCTGGCCACACATTTCAAAACCTGCCAATGGTAAGCTCAGGACTTCACAGCAAGGTAGTCTTAATTAGCTCTTTGACTTTGTGCTCAGGCATTACCTGGCAGCTTTTCTTGCCTCAGAGAAGGGTCTGGAAGAATGAGAGTCACACTGGGGCACACTTTGGCGTCACAGCAGGGAACTCCAAGCAGATGCTTTCTTATGGGCACACTTGGTCTTCATCTGCACAGGCATTTGTCCACATATTCCCCACTCTTTCTGACCAAAGAATGGGGAGGTGACAGTCTTCTTGTTATCACAGTTCAGTGACTGTATTCAGTCTCCATTCTTGCTCAAAATGTCTGTTGTCTTAAGGGTGAGAGATTGGAATTCATCTCCCTTTCAGCTAGCACTAGACTCTCACTCCAAAGAAGCTCATAAATGAACAAGAACAGCTTGCCTATCTGGATCCAAGCTGCAGTCCTTTCAAATCCCATCAACCTTATACCCCAGGTCTCCAGGTAAAACAACAAAATAAACAAATAAACAATAAAATTGGACCCAAGGCAAACAGAATAGTTAAGAGTAACAGCCCAGTAGCACACCGCAAGGCCAGCATACATTCCAGAAGGGGAGAGGGCCATGCAGCAAGCTGTAGCCCCAAGTCACAAGCTAGGGGACACACTGACTCTGAAGGCTACAGGCAGGCCTGCACATCTGACAGGGTCCTGGCACCAACCTGATGGGCCTCTGGGGGGAGTACTATTGTGGAGAGTGGAGGGTCCTGCCCTGCTTAGCCCCTGTGCCTGAACTGAGGCCAGGTTACATCTCAGTGCCACAGTTCTGAGGAGCACCACGCTGGCCAGCCAGCCAGGCCATAGTTCTCAGCCCCGCAGGGGCCATGTGGCCCTAGTTCCACAGAACGGCCCCAGGGAGCCACAGCTGCCTGGAAGAAGGAGCCAGGACAGAAAGCCTGCATTCTGTTGGAGAAACTGGAAGGAGTGACTATAGGCTTAGAGGGAGCTATGGTCCAAAATATTGCAGAGCCATAAGGGATGGGCTCCATTTCTGAACAACAGCAGCCGTATCCCTGTTTTAGAAAGAGAGCATGGCTGCTCTTGCTTGGTTTTGTTTTGTTTTGTTTTTTCCTTTTAAAACCACTCACATTAAAAAGTGAAAGGACTGAGGCACTCAGTCCCCTTCACTGGGGTCCTTGACAGGATCAGTCTCTTGCCTGGTTCTGCTTCCTTGCCTGGCTCCAACCACAAGAAGCCAGAACAGGGCAGGAGAGCAGCCGTTCTGCTCCCCAACAGCAATTCCTTCTCTCCAGAAACCCAGAACACACATGAGGAGTGGCCCAGAGACTAAAGTGCAGAGAATCCACAAAGTGGACGGCTGGGCCTAGGGCACTCTAGAAGGAATGAGGGAGTCAGCCCAGGCACAGAAGTGGTACAAATGCTGGGCCTGGCAAAGTGACTCTACGTGGCACAGTCCCCTTCCCTCTGTGCCCTGTTGGCACCCCTCTCTCAGGGACTGTCCACTACCAGCAGCAACCCAAGGAAAGTCCCAGTCCCAAAGACGTGGTTCACGGAGGGAGGAAACTTATCTGACCATCCATGGGTGGAAGGAACTAGTGAGTAGGAAAGGAATAGAGGGTTCTAGGAGGGGAAAGACTGCATTATATAAAATCAGAGTCCCAGCTCTGCAGAGCAGGGACAAACGGACAACCCTAAAGGCATAGTATCACCTGGGGGAGGTTTGGTGAAGATGGTCAGGGTCCTACCAGTGAGACCTGCTGGGGGAAGAGTGGCTCTTCTGGGTGTAAGAGGAGCTGTGGCACTGGGGGATGGGTTGCTGAGGAAGAGAGCCCCGGCTGGCATTAGGGTGTGTAGGCTGGGGGTGGCTGGAACTGGTTGATGACTTCATACTCTGCTGGGTAGGGGTCATTTTCTTCCATCTCAGACAGTAACTCCAGCGCTTGCTCTTCTTCCTCTGTAGGATAGTGGCGCAGGAGGTTGGCTGCAGTAGCCAGGATCGAGGCTCCACCAGCTCCTGCCACCAGGTAGAAGCTAACAGCAAAGGTGACATAGACTTGGGAGCCATGATACTTCTTATGCTGTTGCTGCTGGGCCAGGATGAGCTCGGAAGCCCAGTAGGAAAAGCCAATGACGGTAGCACACTGTAGTACTGGGAGACAGGGACAGCACAGAACAGGGATCAGCAATCAGGATGCTTAAGGAATCAATCACAGCCTCTCACCCAGTTTTCAGAGGACTTGCCTGGCCCAAGGCTCTAAGAACTTTCTTGGACATGAGATTCTTGATTTGGGCTAAGAATGTCATTTGACCACCCTGACTAGACAGGGTCTATCTTAAGAATTACACTTCAGTAGTTAAGGAGCTTGCATACCATGCACAAGGTCCTAAACTCAATCCTCAGTACCACCCCATGCCCCCCCCCCCCAAAAAAAGGCAGGGAAGAAAGAATGTACAATTAGATAATAAGGCTCCCAGATGCTTCTGGGTCCTGAGAAGGCACAGATAAGATCATGCAGTTTTAGAAACTAAGATGAACTGAAGTCAGTCACTATCAAAAGCCCGGGCCTGGGTGAAGAAAGCGGCTGCATACCAGCAGAGAAAGCAGACCTGGCAGGGAGCTGGACTGGGGGGAGGGACTGACCATACACACCAGTCCAGACAAGACAGCCCAACTCCTCCAATGCTTACATCAAGCCCTGAGTTTCTGTGACCCCGGCCTTACCAGTGAGGATGTGAGCGAAGGCATAGCGACGAGTAATCTTCAGAGCTGGATGCTTGGGTCCAAAGACATCCAAAAGGAATGCAGAGAGACTACACAGGATGCCCAGGAAGCAGAAGGCAGCAATGACCCTCAGGAGCAGAACTGTCTGGGGATTCATGCAGAAATCTGTAGAGAGAGAATGGAAACTTCATGTCCAAGAAACACCCTGAGGCAGGCAGTGTGATCTTGGTCTCCCCCTCTTCCCCCAGTCTCCGGGAGCTAGAAGCCCTGGAGGGCAGTATGAGCTCCTGCCAGCAGCTGCTCTGTGGCAGCAAGGAATATCCGTGCTGCAAACAGAAGTCAGCTGTATACCTCAAGTCCTTTTTCCAACAAGACTAGTCTAGGGTGACTATATTTCTTCTATATATCTTTTTGAGATAGGGTCTCATGTATCTCAGGCTGACCTCAAACTTGCTAAACGGGTGGAGAATGACCTTAAACTTGTGATTTCCTGCCTCCAGCTCTAGGGGGCTAGAATTACAGGCATGCATCACCACACATAATTTATGGCACAAACCAGGGCTTCCTGTATGCTAGGTACTCTACAAACCAAGTGCCATGCCCAGTGCCTGCCCCCTCCCCCTTTCACTTTGCTTTTGAGACAAGAGTCTCAATGTATAGCCCAGGCTGGCTTCAAACTCATGATCCTTCTGTCTCAGCCTCCAGTGTCTTGGAATTACAGGTGCATGCCACCATTTTTCAAGATCCTGACAATTAATTAAGCTGGAATATTAAGCTATTTTGCTAATGGATGCTTTGGGCTGACAGGAAAAGGTCAATGACTTCTGAGCTGAAACAACCAGAGAGACCAAGGCCAGAGGTCAAGCGATGCCCACTCTCTAATTCACTCATTCCTTCTGTTTTCATTCTGAAACAGGCATTGGACTTAGAGAACTGTGCTAAGTGAAGTAAGTTAAGTCAGATGGAGAAGGCCAAGCACCGTGAGTCTGCTCATGAGATGCCAGGAAGCCAGAATCACTGACTCACAGGAGTGAGATGGTGGCTGCCAGAGGCTGGAAAGAGGGAGAGAAGGTGTTAGGTGACTGCGTTTTCAGTTTGGGGTCATGCCAAAGTTCTAGAAATGGACAATGGTGAAGACTAACAACAATGCAAATATGCCACTGAGCATATCTGTAATTCCAGCACTTAGGAGGTATTACCAGGAGGTTCAGGAGTTCGAGGCCAGTTTATGCTACTTAACAAACCTGAGGCCAGCCTGGGCTTGCTGAGACCCTGCCTCAATCAGCACCCTCAACTGCACCCTCTACAAAAAAGGGAGAGAAGACTTTGATTAGGACTAGACAGCTGAAATGCAAGCCAGCAGTGGAAAAGCTAAGAAGTTATACCCTGGAAAGTTCAGAAATGAGAACATGTATATGCTACCAAAACAGGGGGTAAACCAAGGAAAAGGAAGTGCTAAAACAGGAATGGCAGCTTTCAAGGAGTCCCTAGGGTGACAATCATGCACCACAACAGAACAGCTTGTATTCCTTACAGTGTTTAAATACCTTCTTTAAAACATTTCAATAAACAATACTGTCCGTCTCCTTTGATAGCTATGGAAACTTGGATGGCTTCCTGAAGCAAAGAATGGAATAAGGGCTGATCAAAAAGGAGTAAAGGCAGGTCTTGTTGTGCCCACCTTTAATCCCAGTACTCTCTGAGTTAGGGGCTATTCTACATAGTGAGTCCCTGCATTAAAAAAAAAAAAAAAAAAAAGGTGAATAAATAAATAATTTAAAAAGGGCCCAGCAGTGGTGGCTCACACCCTTAATTCCAGCACCTGAGAGGCAGAGGCAGACTGGTCCACATAACTAGTTCCAGGATAGCCAGGGCTACACAAAGCAAACCTGTCTTAAAAACAAAAACAAATCCAAAAAGGAATGAAACAAGTCTTCATTTCCTCTTCCTCCTCTTCCTCAGCTATTACCATAGGTCACTGAGTAATATAGGGAAAACTGGATAGAGCTGGTCAAACTCAGGCCACAGGCTCCTTTCTTGATCTTTAATGTCAAATTCAGAACTTGAAGGTGACAATCTTCAATTTCTAGCATATATCTTGATCACCAAGGTACTGCTGCAACCATGTACCAGGCTCCTCAAGGGTCTGGGAGCACAGAAAATCCCCATACAAGAAGCCCAAGTCTTCAGTCCCCAAAAAACCAGCACTACATTCCATAATAAGGTAAACAGATGGAGGAAAGCCCAAGAAGCTAAGTGGTGGACCCTCTGCTAACAATCTGGCAGATGCTGGCCATCATGGAGTCTTGAGCAGTGGGATATGCCAAGCATATGTACTCAGCCTCAGATTCAATTTTTCCAGGTAGATGCTGGCTGAGCCCAGACAAGACTCAGGTGCCTTGGCCTGGCTGCCTTCAGAGTCATCTGTCATGATCTTTACTTCGGAGGCTTGGGTGATTACCTAATGTCATGGAGCTTGCCTGCCATGAGTTCTGCCAGAAGCTAGCATCTGCCCTCACTGCATCCAGAACTGCCTCTTAGGACAACACAGGGATTGCAAAGGGGCCCAGGAAGAAAGGCTTCAGGGAGAAAGGGGCTGACTCCTGTCTCTGATTTGAACATTACTGAAAACTGAATCAGTCCTTTTTGGGGTCTGCACAGCATGTGGGAAAGCTGGGGCAGGATTCAAATGTTCCAATGCTACCAAGAATGCCTGCCAGAGACAGGTTGTTAAGGGCTGACATCACGGGCCACTTTGCAGCAGTCTGCCTGCATTACACTGCAGCCAGGCACTTTGTGTGAAGGAGGAATGCAAGAGGCTTCAAAGACACTGGTTTTTTGTTTCTTCTGATGATGGCTGAACATATTATCCTTGAAAACATGCACCTGATATATCCATGCCTATGTGCTTTACATTTTTAAATACTTTTTTGTTTTTTTTTTTTGAGACAGGGTTTCTGTGTAATATCCCTGGCTGTCCTGTAGACCAGGCTGGCCTCAAACTCAGAGATCCGATGCCTCTGGCTCCCAGATACTGGGATTAAAGGTATGACCACCACTTCCTGGCTTACTTTTATTTTAATAAACATGTATGCACATGACAAAAAAAACTTCAAGAAAGAAGCCCACTTTCACCTGCCTTTCTCTAGAGGCAAACATGGCTGAAGGTACAAGAGCCTGTACACACAAATCGGTCAAGCATAATCTTTGCCAAGCTTGACTGCCACCCTGGAAGTCATCATACAGCTCAGATGAGGAGTCAGAAGCTCCAGAAGATTAAGTGACCTCCTCCAGGTCACACAGTGACCCCCCAGACACTGCAATGTGCTGCTTGGAAACTGCTAAGCACCCATTGGCAGCTGTTATTATTTCCTTGATGGAGATAATCAATCAAACTCTAAGAAGGTGCAATGAAAAGAAGGGTCAGATGAACTAGTAAGACATTGTCCAAGATAGTAGCTGCTGAGCTCATGAAAACAGCAACTGGAGGACTCAAATTCTACCGCACTAACGACAACAAAAAGCAAGAAAGGTGTGGATCGTTGAGTGATGAGCAGTGCTCACACAGGGACTTAGGTCAAAACTGGCTTTATACAGTATTTGAACCTCTGCAGCACTGAGGGCATCTGAGCACAATTCTGGTCATGAGTTAGGGCACCAGAAAAACTACACCTGGTCCAATGCTAGGCCTACCACAGGCTACAGTCAGTCTTCAACAAGTCACTAGCTGGCCTGTTTCAAAGGCTCAAATGAACGCAGCCAACACCTGCCTCACCCACCACAGACAGGTGCTAGGAGGGAAAGCAGCTGCCTGTTCAACCAGACTGAATAGGGTAACTCTGGACAGAGGAAGAGCTTCTGACACTAAATTCAGACATGCTTTGTTTCAACTGCCCTTCTCTACTTCAAAGCTATAGTGCTTAAGGCAGTGGTTCTGAACCTTCCTAATGTTGCTGCCCTTTAATACAGTTCCTCATGTTGTGGTGACTCATAAATTTTTTTCATTGCTACCTCATATGTAATGTTGCTACTGTTATGAATTGAAATGTAAATATCTGTGTTTTCCAACAGACTTAGGCAACCCCTGTGAAAGGGTGGGTGGACCCCTAAAGGGGTTGAACTGCACATGTTGAGAACATCTGAAAGCCAAATGTGAGCTTCCCTTTGGGTGGTACTAACATTCCCAGAGAGGGGCAGCAGGGGAGCAATGTCTTAGCATAAGGTAAGACAGGAAGACAGCCCTGATCAAGAGCATCTCCTAGGGCCAGAGATCTGAAAGTCTCTAGTTTCCTTTCCTAAATACCAGTATGGCAAGGAGAGCAAATAATACTCCTCCTTCCCTAAGGAGTCTTTTCAAGACACTTTAAGCCCCAAAGGCTAGATAGGCTAGGAGTGACTTATTGTGGGAGAGAAAGACCGCGTGGGGCAGGGTCTTGACTTTATATTTGAGCCAGTGGTTTCCTACACTACATTCCAGACAGACAGCATATCCTATCATCACCTCCAGTTGTATTCTGCCCTGTTTATTTTGGTAAACACTGCTTGACTGTCCCTTCTAGTCATCAGGGAAGAAGGCAGCTGCTATGTAATCAGATCCTAAGGAACTGACTTTGACCAAGGTCATTGGTGAGTCACGGGGCTGGATTTGTTTTGAATGCTCTGGCTCTTCCTGTCTACCTGTCTGTGGTTGACCTTCTCTTGACCTATGTGGGCTGAAGGCAGAAAAGCTAAAGTGGTTCCAGACAACTTCCTGCTGTTCTTCCCTTCCTCCTTCCTCAGTTAGGGGTCCTATGGGCTAGAGGAACTCCCACTGCCCAAGTCTCTCCCAATACCTTCCCCTCAGCTCTGCATCCTTCACTCTTGGCTTCCTGCCAAACCTGACACAGACCACCAACAGGGCACACTAGTGTCCAGATGGGTCATCTTACAGTTGTCAACGGTGCCAGCCTGAGAACAACCCCCAAGGGCCTGGTGGTGGCATCAGCCTCTGTCACTACCCATCAGGTACACAAGCCCTCTATCCATGGTCCTCCAGTGGCTGTTTCAATCTTGAGTCACTTGACATCAAATCCCAACTTACACATTCTCCAAAACTGCTTCCTGAAGCTGGTGGTGGGGCTGCCCTTCGCTAGCCACACTAGAGAAACACAGAGGGCTTTCAGGGGTTCTGTCCAGGCACTAAAAGTCTGGGCATTTCTAGGCCTTCTCTGGATCCAAGCCCAGAGAAGCTATGTGAGAAGATTCAGAACAGAATCTGTTGAGCTGGCATTTGCTGAAGCCTTCAGGCATCTGGTCACACAACAAGGGTGAGTGGCTCTGCCTCTGGTTCACCAAGTTGAGCCTGAAACCTGAGAGAGTGTGGGCACTAAAAAGCACAGCTCTGTCTGGGCTTGATAAAAATACAACCGGAGAAGCTTCAGCTGCCCTAATCTCCCTTTTGCTTTGCAAAGGGTCTTTTTTTTTTTTTTTTTTTTTTTTTTTTTTATGTGTGCCTTGTTTTGTGTGTGTATTTCCTCACCCCTAATAAAGCTTTCTTTTAAAACAAGAAGCCAATCAAACAAACAAACAAACAAAAACCCACTCCATCAGAATAATAAAGGAAAACAAACTCGGAGGGCACTAAGATGTGATGGTAATAAATGTGAACTTCACAGTCACAACTTGGATCAGTTATGTCCCTGAGTACCTTACCTACTCTCACTGAGCTGGGGCCTTTGTGAATAAGGATCAAGTTAAGGCAAATGTGAGGTGTGCTTGGTACACATGCTTGCTTTGGAAGCTTCTGGCCACCTCATTCTCTGTTACCTACAGAGACTTAGCAGGGTATTTCCCTCTGTAAGTATCTTTAAGCACCATATTTGCCCAGCATTGCTATACTCCCTCCTGGGATTGAAATATTCCAGGCTTCCAGAGTAGATCATCTGGTAGACCTAGAAATCAGCACAGTCACACAGGATACCTTATGCCCGTAGGTCCGAGAGGTACCACAAAACACAAGACAGCAACAGAAACTAAACAAGAGGCCAGATTCCTTGCCTTCTGCAATGGCTCACAAGAAAGACCCCAATGCTTCTATTTATAGACCGTATGTAGCTAAGTGATCCTGGCTTACAATGGCCAAGGAGATGAGTAGAGCAGGCAAACCACTAATGGGCTAAGATATCTAAACACACAGCAAATGCAATGTAAAGGTTATGACAACATATTTGAAAAGGACAAAATTTGGTCTGAATAATTTCTTAGAAAGGGCAAACATGACCAGGTGGTGGCAGCATACGCCTTTAATCCCAGTACTTGGGAGGCAGAGGCAAGTGGATCTCATTGAGTTTGAAGCCAGCCTGGTCTATGAAGTAAGTTGCAGGACAGGCAGGACACAGAGAGACCCTATCTTGGAGGGGAGTGGGGGAGAGGGAGGAACGACAAATACTTCTGTGAACAAACAAAAACTTGAATCAAGAACTGATTTTTATTTTAACGCACCTTTGACGGGGACATATACCAAGGCAGGATATCATGTGATCCTTTTTTTACAACAGCCAAAGTAAAACAAAGGGTAAACATAATTAAGGAGATAGCACTATTTTATTCTGGCATCAACAGATGGGAGACAGTTATCATTGATGCCACCCAGCAGGGCAAGCCTAGGGAGCTCGCTTCACTTTTCTTCCTGGATTTCTGAAATAAGGATGCCTCTCTCCATACCATTTGAATGGAATGACCCTTCCACCTCAGGGATGACCTGCAAAATTCAATCATCATAAACTACTTCCCAGTTTGTGTGTGACACTCAACTCCTGGAAACAGAAACACCATGGCACCAAATGCAAAAGGCCTGAATGAAGATGAGTGCAAGGGAATGGGAAAGCATCCAGTTCAAACTCTGCAGCCTTCTGCCATCAGGTATATGCTACAAAAAAAGCTGCATTTAAGAAGGCCTCCATCCAAGGTATAACCTTGGTCTTAGAAGACAAACTCAGGAAGAGGGTAAAAAATAAAGTCTCAAATCAGTGCCTCCACACCCTATTCTCTATAAAAATCATCCTAAAGCCTTCAATGTACAAAGAGAAGCAAACTGTTGAGAGACTTCAGAAAGAAGAACACTAGGTGACAGGATAAGGCTTTTCAGCTTACACCTACAGTAGTGTTTTTATTCCAATGCAGAGGGGGACCTTTTCACCAAATTATAGGGCTTGAGCTCTTCATGAGATACTTTGCACATATCTTACAGCAACTAAAGAGGGCAAAGAAGAAACATGAAAACTTCCAAGTCTAATTCCAAGGACTTGAGGGCAACAAGATGTGTCCATTTGGGGCCCACTGACCATTTTTAGGTTAAAAATCAGGAAGTACAGTCCTGCTTCTACACCACACAGCCTTTCTCCTCACTCCTAGAAACAGAGGAGCTACTATGAGACTCCAGAGACAGGCCCTCCACTAAGCTCTGAACTCCTATTTCATCCACTAACCGAACAGGTATTTTCTTCTGCCTGTTGGTTTGGGAAATCCGTTGACAAAAAAGGCAACCGTCTCAGTCAGTCATACCTATAAGGGCACTGAAAGCCAAATTCCAACTGCTGAGTATGGCAATGGAACTGACGTCTGATGACCTGGGATGCCACAAGTACCCTCTACTATAAGTCCTTATCATAAATACTAAATTGGTCATATTAACAGTTGTTTTCTCCATCAATCAAGCTGGCCCAAAACAACTTTTCTGCATCTCAGGTACGTTAGGATTAATTGTGATACCTAATACCCTATTAAAGTGCTCTTCCTCAGCAGAAATCTAAAATAGCCATATTCTGGTTTAGCATGACGGTAAGGAATAGGTGCTTGGCTGAATAACATCAGAATTGATGAGGGGCTAGACCCCCAAACAGAGCCACCTGGTGGGCATGAGCACCAAGTAAGAACGGGGCTGTTGCCTTCAACAAATGACTGCCTCTGGTCATCTATGCTTCCTTCAGCCAGTCCCACGTCCATCCCGCACCACCCCTCTAGTCGGGAGAGCAGGAGATCAGCGCCCTCACCTTTCAGCAGATCCGGGTGCACGTAGCCCAGCACGTCCGAGACCCCCAGCTCCTGGCGGGAACAGGTGCCTCCGTGGATGTGCAACCAAGCGGGCTCCGCCAGGGCAGTACACAGCGCTGTGATGGACAGGGCGCCAGGCAGGGCCGAAGCCAGGCTCCGCTCCGGCTGCTTGGGCAGAGCGCTGCTTCCCGGGCTCCTCCGCCGGCGCCCTCCCGGCAGCCCTGCGCCTCCAGGGGCATACATGCCCGGGGCCGCCCGCTGTAGCTCTGCGGAGGCTACTGATGGCCGCCGACCTCAGCGGGGCGCGCACAGCCTATCTGTACCCGGGTGAAGAGCAACGCAATGGGCGGGTGGCCCGGAGCTGTCAGAGCCCGCACCAGAGACTGCGGGGTGGGACCCAGGGCTAAGCACACACCAAAGGACTGCGGGAATTCGGGGGGCGGGGACCGAGGGCTCTGGATGAAGGGTACTGAACCAGGGAGAGGGCAGGGGACTAGGTGGGCTGTGGACATGCCAGGATGAACAGACGGAGGTCCTGGGGGATCAGCTACAGGCGCTGTGGGGGGGGGGGCGGAGGAGACTTAGACCGGGGTTATTGGACAGAGGGTTCCTGAGGGGCGGAGGATGCGGCTGGGCCGCCGGGATCCGAAACCCGCACTTTGAGGTGCGACCTAAGCCACAGTGACCCTCCCTACTCTAGTCCCTGCTCCTCACCGGTCAGCTGGCCTCAGAGCCGGGATGGCGCCGCTCCGCCCGGTCACGGGCTTCTCAGCTGCCCGGGCCAAGCGATCCCAGGCCCCAATCCCCGCAACGCCCAGACGGACCCGGGCTGATGCACTTCCGGCTTCCTCCAACCCCACCCCACCCTCGTCTCCTCCTCTGGCTCACCGCTCTGCCCTCGGCGGTCGTCACTGTGTGCGCGCGCACCATCTGACCTCGCGCCGAGCATCAGGGGACTGGTAGTTCGGAACAGTCCCGCGAGGCTTCCCGTTGGGGAGGGTGACAGAGTGACTACAAACCCCAGAAGGCCGCGCGGCCTCAGCAGCGGGTGCTTCAGTTCCCAGGGCGACCCCTCTGGCTGAAGCTAGACATCTGGCATCCGCGGGGTCCTGTAGTGGCCACCGCTTTCCGCACGTTGCTTTCAGCGTCCTCCTTCTCACCCTGAGGCCGCCGCCATGAAGGATTCGCTGGTGCTGCAGAGCCGTGTCCCGGCGCACCCGGACTCCCGCTGCTGGTTCCTGGCCTGGAACCCCTCGGGGACCCTGCTGGCCTCGTGCGGCGGCGACCGTAAAATCCGCATCTGGGGCCCCGAGGGTAAGGCCTGGCTTGGCTTTGTGACCCTGGTGCCGAGGAAGACGCTACTCTGAAAAGGGTTTGTCGGGGGAAGCAGTGTTCAAGCGTCAACAGACAGCCCGGGATTATTGCGGGAACTGGGATGTTTGTTGAGGAAGAAAAATGAGAAAAAGTAGTCTGAAAAGCAACTTGACGGTTTTAGGACCAGTTCCAGAGGAAGCAGTCGCTTGCATCGTTGTAATGGTGATTGAGTTTGTCCCCACAGTGTTCCGCTTTCAGTACTAGTTATTGAATGCATTGATGGTGCTCCAGAAACTAGCCTGTTCTCTGCCTGTAGGTAACAGCTGGATTTGCAAGTCTGTCCTTTCTGAAGGCCATCAGCGCACTGTTCGGAAAGTGGCCTGGTCCCCCTGTGGAAATTACCTGGCCTCTGCCAGCTTTGATGCTACCACTTGCATTTGGAAGAAGAACCAGGATGACTTTGAGGTAACCAGGCTGTGCGGGAGCAGATTGTTACCTGTTTGCACCCCGGGGCTGGGTCCACCTGGACGGACCATTTGAGTACTTAATGTTCCTACCATAGAATGGTAGTGGGTATGGTAGTTCATGACACTAATCCCAGCATTTGGGACACTGAAGCAAGAGGATTGCTACAAGCTCAAGGTCATCCTGGGCTATAGAATGAGACCCTATTTCAAATAACAACAAAATTGTGATCTTAGATGTTTTGCTAGGGCCTAGGCTCCTTAGCTGCCATTAATTCACAAACTTTTTCTGTTTCCAGTGTGTAACCACTCTTGAGGGTCATGAAAATGAGGTCAAGTCAGTGGCTTGGGCCCCATCTGGCAACCTGCTGGCTACCTGCAGCAGAGATAAGAGTGTGTGGGTCTGGGAAGGTGAGTCCAGGTGCCTCTAGGAACAATGGGAAACCGGCTCACTGACTTTCAGCTTTGTTCCTGACAGGCTCAGCTCTTTGATTCTTTTTTTTCTCCCACAGTTGATGAAGAGGATGAGTATGAATGTGTCAGTGTCCTCAACTCTCATACACAAGATGTTAAGCATGTGGTTTGGCACCCGAGCCAGGAGGTAAGAGTCAGACGAGGTAGGGAAGAACCCTGATGTGGATGGGGGCTTGTGCCCAGCCTGCACGTGTACTCTCAACATCACCCTCAACTTTGCTAGGGATCTCTGGGACTGCCCTGTCCTGACAGGGTTTGAAATTGGAACCATGGGTTCCTCCTGGGCCAGGCTGACAAGTCTCCTTTCTTACTCTTTCAGCTTTTGGCTTCTGCCAGCTACGACGATACGGTGAAACTGTACCAGGAAGAGGGGGATGACTGGGTTTGCTGTGCCACTCTTGAAGGCCATGAGTCCACTGTGTGGAGCTTGGCCTTTGACCCCAGTGGCCAGCGTCTGGCCTCTTGCAGTGATGACCGTACTGTTCGCATCTGGCGCCAGTATCTACCAGGCAATGAACAAGGTGAGGGTCCAGGAGTCAAAGGAGACTCCTTTTCCTTAGAGTTCTGCCAAGATGTGTGGTCTGCCATGAATCAGATTAGACTCAGTGTATCAAGGAAGGTCTGCAGAGAGGCACTGTAAGAACTGAAGGTAGCTTTCTAAAACAAGGCCTTCTAACCAAATTTGAAAAGGAGATGTAGATTTTTTTTTTTTTTTTTTTTTTTTTTGTCAAGACAGGGTTTCTTTGTAGTTTTGGAGCCTGTCCTGGAACTCACTCTGTAATTCAGGCTGGCCTCGAACTCACAGAGCCACCTGTCTCTGCTTCCCAAGTGCTGGGATTAAAGGTGTATGCCACTACCACCCAGCTAGGTATGTAGAATTTTTAGCTGGAGAATATAATGCAAGAATTCCCAGTGAAAAGTCAACCCCCCCAAAAAAAGAAAAGCTACCAAGCAATGCTGTCATATACCTTTAATCCCAGTAGGGAGGCAGAAGCTGAGGGAATCTCTGTGTTCAAGGGCAGCCTGGTTTACATAGTAAATTCAGGACAGCCAAAGCTACATAGTGAGACCTTAACTCAAACAAAACAAAACCAAACAAAAAAACCCAGAAAGAAAAGAAAACCCAGCAGCATGATTTGGCTGATGGTAGGAATGTCTAAATAGAATGTGAAGAACAGGATTCCTTGAGGCAAGGCAGAGAATTAGAAGGGAGGAGTGTAGGAGGTTGGGTTGGCTAGTGGGTGGCCTTAAAAGGCCGATTAACTCATTAATACACCTGCAGTGGAATAGGGATGCTTCCTTCTCAGAATTAATTCTGGGGTGGCAGCAGTGTATAAGGCAGATGAGAGTGGGAACACAGCTGGGACAAGGACTCATTGATTGGCAATGTGATGAGGAAGGGCACATTAGGATCTCCTTTGCAATAGTAGAATACCTTGGGCTTAAGAAAATTCTGTCACACAGGGGTGGCTTGCAGTGGCTCTGACCCCAGCTGGAAATGTATCTGCACTTTGTCAGGGTTCCACACCAGGACCATTTACGACGTTGCTTGGTAAGACCTCAGTCTCATCCCAGCAGGGATTTTAGAGATGGCATGACTGCTGCTCTGCATTTCTTCAGATTAGGCCTGCCATTCTGGTTTATAACTGGCTGGCCTGGGATTCTAGGACCAGGAAGCTGACGATACCTAAGACTACTTCTGGGATAAGATCCCAGGCTTTCTTACCCTCTCTGAGGAGTAGGTGGGGGCAGGGTTGGGAGGGAGGTAGGGAAAGCAGGAAGAGGGGAGGGAGTGGGAACTGGGATTGGTATGTAAAATGAGAAGATTGTTTTAAAATTTAAAAAAAAAAAAAAAATCCCAGGCTTTGAGAATAGGACCAACCCTTAGTATTTATTTACATAGCATTGGACCATCCTGAGGTGATCATTGACTATATGCATTGTGGTTTAGTAACTGACTTTTATGGAGACCAGAAAAGCTGCCCCATTTTTAGAAGAATAGAGGTTAGAGGCCACTCTGGACCTGAGTCTTGCTGTACACACCTTTAATCCCAGGCCTCAGTAGGCAGAGGCAGACAGATCTCCGTGTTCAAAGCCAGCCTGGTCTACTGAGCCAGTTCCAGGACAGCCAGGGTACACAGAGAAACCCTGTCTCAAAAAAATAAAAAGCAAACATCTCAAGCATTCATTGCTAGACAACTAGAATTCTTGCTGGCTTTTTTAACTTACTAAAATGAATAGGCAGTTGAATATTCCAGATTCAAGTTTTACACAGTGATGGGCAATGGGGGAATCTTCAATGCTTAAAATTAAGTTCTTTACTTTAAAAAGGAATTATGGTAAAATTTGTTAGTATCAGTTTTAAAAGGAGGCTAAGGATGCCGTGACATGGGCAACTGCTTATGCTAAATGGGGAAAGTGTGACTTGGTCTCCTCTGTAGCTGGGGCAACCAGGTGGGAATACCCGAGGACTTGGAGGGCCTTGGTTGGTGTGGTAGTTTAGGAAAGCTTTTCTGTGAGACACTTAACAGAGGCCTAGGGTTTGGAAAGAAACTAGGCTTGAGACTGTGGAACACTTCTCCCTAATTTGCTAGGTTAGAGAGGCAGAAATCATCTGCTTACCCACTGACAATGTATGTTTCCTCCCAGGTGTCAGCTGACAGGGGCTCTGGCTACAGCCTGTGGGGATGATGCCATCCGGGTATTTGAGGAGGATCCAGGTTCAGATCCACAGCAGCCTACCTTCTCTCTGACAGCTCATCTGCATCAGGCCCATTCCCAAGATGTCAACTGTGTGGCTTGGAATCCCAAGGAACCGGGACTCCTGGCCTCTTGTAGTGATGATGGGGAGGTGGCCTTCTGGGAGTATCACCAGACTGCAGGCCTCTGAGCTATAGCTTGACTTGGCCAAGACTTTCCTAGTTACTGAGGGGTCGTTTAACTTTATGCCCTTCTGTTTGGTTGTGTAGAAGCCACAAGACCATTCACTGTTTCCCTTCCTTGATGTGAAGGAGCCATGGAACAGAAGTATGTTGTATTTCACATCTGGTTGATTTAGGGCATGGTGTTAACATATTTTGAGGGTAAATACAGTATTTATAATCACTATGTATGTATATAGGAGAATGTGATTTGAGAGCTTTCTGAAATTGTGAACTTTATAGAAATTATCTGTGCCCACTTCCTGTTTTATAAATAAGGTCATTTATCACTTATAATCCCACTGTTGGAAATGGGCCCCTTCTTCCCAATTTTTAGAATTCCCTCCATTTAAGACCTGCAAGCCAAGTTATGGTGTCTTCCTAGTACCTAGTACTCAATAAGCAAAGACAGGATGATCAAAAGCTCAACGTTATCCTTGGCTACACAGGGAAGCTAACCTGGGATATACAAGACCCTTTTTCAAAAAACAAAGACATTCAAAGTTTGTTCCATGTAAAAGAACACCTCTGCTCACATGCCTCTTGAGACATGTTGTCGTGGCAACTGAACCTCCCCTAAAGAGAGAATTGGTTTTCAGTGAGGGGCAGAAAATATTAAGACAATAGTTTGTGGCCCTCTTAAACAAACAAACAAACAAACAGCAGGTTGGGTGGCGTAGCATACACCTATAATATACCACACAGAGGCCAACCTGACCTGATCTACAAAATGAGTTTCAGGACAGCCATAGAGACAGGCCCTATCTCAAAAAAACAAATGAGAAAACAAGTAAAAGACAATGGTGTGTGTGTGTGCACACGCGCGCTGCCAATCTGTGGTGTTTTTCAGGGCAAAAAGTAATTAGAATGTCTAGTGAGCCTTCTAAATTGTGGTGAGGACTGACTGTCTCCAAAGCTGGAGCCTTCACTTAATTTTTGATACTGTACAATTATGACCTTAGATTTCTTGCAGTATCAAAAGCAGCAGTGGCTAATGATCTGCAGGTCCCTGGGGTCCTAGGACCCTTGCAAGGTCAATGCCATAACATGATCAGGGAGTGGCACCAGTTAAATAGCCATCAGTCTTTACTGTCTTGTTCCCACAGTAGGAATGGAGCCAGCTTCACTTAGACAAGAAAGATGACTATTAAACATTGACCCTTGAGAACTTCTCATATGAGAAAATTCCATCCAGGCCCTCTGCAATGAAGTAAGGTGATCCAAGGAAAAGCAGTTGGACTTTTGTTGCAAGCCATTCATGGAATGCCATTTTTATCAGAAAACTAACCATTTAGGTGTGGCTATTTAACTGTGTTCCTGAAAAATGAACACATTTAAACCTTTCACTAATAGTGTTTGTTCACTGCTAATGGTAAATGTTTAAAAGGTGGAATTTCTGAAAACTTATAACAAACTTAAGTGGTAATTAAGTTAGCAAATGAGTAGTGAACTGTGTAGATATCTTGAGATCTGTGGAATTTCATGGGTCAGTCTCCAAATGACCAATGTACTGATGTGTTGGTCATTTGGAGAATGTTAAATTCAGATAGTGACTATAAGATGGGGTAGTGTGTTTAGTAGTACAAGATGCATGGATACAGCTGTAGACTCTACATTGCCTTTAGAAAATTTACACAGTTTTCATATAGTATCAAAGGAGAGCCACAATTATTTGACAACTCTATTCTCTGAAATTGACATGCTTCAACTCTACCACACAACAGATGAGCACAGATGTGGCTGGCTTCTGTTAAGCCAGGTGTAAAGTGATTGCAACACTGTACCATGTTACCCTTCTTCCAGAACTTATTTTTCCTAAATATGTTGATGAAGTTATTTTGAAATGGACTGCTTTAATTTTTAATATAACAACTATCAGTGACTATAACCTACATCATAATAAAAGCTTTCGAGGCTGAAGGAGAAATGGGTCTTGAAACCATCATTTGAAAACTGCTGGCCTGGGGGAAAACGAAATCACTTTCAGCATTGTTCACATTTACTCCTCAACAACAGAAAGCAAACAATAGAAGTCGTGGGTCTGAGACTGTGATAAGAGGGCATTTTAAAGAGACAGACTACAGTCATACCTGCCTGGTACATCTTTTTTTGCTGCTGCTTTTATTTGTTTATTTATTTATTTTAAGGCAGGGTTTTTCTGTGTAGCTCTGACTATACTGGAATTAGCTCTGAAGACCAGGCTGGCTTCAAACTCACAGAGATTCACCTGCTTCTGCCTCTCAAGGACTAAAGGTGTGCACCACTACTGCCAGGCCCTACCTGGTGCATCTTAACCACCCCTAGTGTTATCTCCTGTAAGGAAAGAATTTCAGAACAAAGATCATGAAAAGCCCTGTCTGTTGGCTAAGATGGAGTCAGTTCCTGCTGTCATACCACTAACTTTGCCACTGATCAGCAACATTTATAAAGGAGGCAAGGTCATTCGAATGCCTAAAGAGTAGCTGTCTGCCATTGTTTTGTTCTTCAGTAGAGGACAAGTTTGTTCTCCCCATACTCAGTAGGGAAATTCAGTGCTAAAATGAGAGTCTTTCTGGGTAGGGCTTTTAGTTGAAGAAAATTTAGTATCTCTGTTAAGGACATAGTTTTTCCAAATTATTTATTAGAACGTCTGACTCAAGGAACTACAAAAAAAAATGCCTTCCAGCTACTATACACAGTTTATACTTGACATGACACTTGAAAGTACTGGACCCAGAGTTTAAACTGCTTAGTCCAAAGTGGGAAAGTAACTAGATGTGGACTGTGAACAGCAGAAGCCTGAATGGCCAGACCTCAGGCTAACAGACTTGGTTTCCAAAACCAGTTCCCCCTAAACTGTCCACATAACTGTCCACATTCCTGTTTCCAGGTTAAATGTTCCAATACATGAAAGAATCCCTCAGACTCAATCTGAATCACTGTCTGTCTCAGCTTCTTTCACATCCACACTGAACTTATACTCCTGGTCACATCCCATGTAAGCATCACTCATGAAGTACAAGGTGTAGTTGTGGCCACCTGTGGCTGGGGCCACAAAGTCTAGCTTCACCTAAAGAGAACAGGCAGAAATCAGATTAGTGGGAAACTGGGAGGAGGCAATCCATCAAATCCCAGGGATAGATGCAGGATTGAGTACACACACTCACCTTGGCTTTCTGCTGCAGGGTCAGCCTTTTGATGGAGATGAGGCTGTTGGACTTTGCATCCCCAATCACAACCCACCAGCCCTCTTCACGTTTCTACAGGGACCAAAACCAAGAAATTGAGCATAGAAAATTCAATGGCTACAAGCAACTGTGAGAACAGTTATGAAACAGTACCAGAACTCAGATTAAAGCTCCTTACAGTTGCTTCCTGAAACACAGTTTAGTAGACTTTGTGAAACTACTCTTGGTAGAGTTTCTAAGCAGTCTAAAGATATCCCCAAAGGACTTAGTCTTTGAATAAGTAGATAAACTGATTTTTCAGTTCTACCTCATTTCCATTACCCAAGGCACCTTTTTTTATTTAATATTTGTCACTGAATCTAAGATGACTTCTAGAGATTTAGCCTTGGAACAATGAAGCTTCAAGTTCTTAAACTTAGGTGCAAGGCAAGCTAACTGAAAAATCTTAATGTGGAGATGAACCTGCAACAGAGAGAATACAAAGCAAGCCTTTGGGGCCTCTTCTGACATCTTGTCTCTCTGGAGAAGCCCTCTCTGTTGGCCACAATAAAGCAAGTCTGCCCAGTGGCACTTTCCCTAGAAATCTGAACAACCTGTCTACAGGAGTACATGAAGTTTATCATCTGCACCCAACCTTCAATTCTCCCACAAAGAGATGAGATTTCCTTTCTGCTGAATTAAAAACATATGAAACTAGAACCTGAGCGAAACATAACTGAGGAAAGACCAAGTAGAAAAGTTCAGTGTCCTGAGCTATTGGTAGACAAAAGTACCTTAAGAGTCCCAGAGAGACAGACAATGCCTAATGTTTTTTTAACAATGGCCAGCCATCTAAATTGTTTAAAAACAAAAAAGAAAAATAATCCATGGTTCTGAGACTAATACTCAGCCTTGTGAGTTCATAACCCCCACCCCCCAAGCTATCCTTCCCTGGTGGGAAATGTATCCGTACCTAAGATCTAGCCAGTGAACAAGGCCTCAAATAAACTGCGGGCAAAGCCGGCTGCTAGAACATACCTGTGGGAAGAGTGGTGCAATAACAGGGCCTGTGACTTCCTCTTCCCGCTCCAGTTGCACTAGCACCACAACTGGCCCACCACTGGTGAAAGCAAAATAACATATGAGTACTATAGCTGTGGGCAGGGGCCACAGGACAGGACTGCTGACACTTCCTGTCTTACCTGCGGATGCTGTCTCTATCCACCACTTCATAGGACAGTTCAATATTCGGATAGCGGTTACAGAAGCGGGCCACATCTGCAATCTGGCTGTCAGTCAACTGAAGCAATGCGTTCCGTTCTTCATCCTCCATCTCCATGATGTCAAAAACACTCTCCACTCCCTACAGTGGGTATGCAGAGGTCAGGAGAGCAGAGAACACATAGCAGAAGCAAGGAACACTGGCTCTAAAGAGCTGCTCATCTTAAACCACACTACCAAGTCATCTAAAAACAGCTTTAGAAAGACTATAGACCACTTCTGGCCCCTCTCAGCACCTCAATTCAGACAGAACTCCTTCCTTTGAAGGAGTCCCACCTGCTAATACTTGCCTCCCCTAATCTACCTGCAGATCAGGACTTTCTGTTCTCAGGCTCATCTTCTGGCACTCCATGTCTTAGCTCACCTTATCTGTGCAACGTTTGATATGCTCTGAGGTGAAGTGCGGCAGCTGCTTCAGGTAAGAGTCCTTAGACCACATGGCTTGGGTTACCATCTGAGCCAGTTCCATGGCTGCCAGAGCAGGGCTGAGCCACCCATTGCTAGACAGTACATCCACACAGGCCTGAATGAGTCGGATTGCCTGTATGGAAGAAGGATAAGAGCAGTCTTATACTGGAACAATCTTCTGAGGGCCCCACGGCCAGTTGAGTCTCCCAAACCCACCCACACTACCTTACTAAGGATCTCCTCTGTGTCTGACTGTAGTTCAGCACTCAGCTGCATGCGGGACAGGTGAGCCTGCAATAGCAGGTTGGTCTTCACATGTGGATCATTGAACTTGGGGTTATTCAGCTTGTGGGGTACCTTCTGAGCCAACTAGAATGTGAAAGAAAAAAAACTGGTGATAAACAGAGGACCCTACCTGAGACCTGTTTAGGCCAAACGCACCATGTGGCCCAGCCAGACTCTAGAGGGAAGAAGGATGGAGAAGTGTAGGTAAGGGTGGAAGAATGCATGAGGTTGCGAGGTAAGAGAAATGAGTGGGGGTGGCAGGAAGCCCTGTGCTTTGGCAATGGGACAGACTTTTAGTCTTGAGTGATTCAAAGCCCATGCCTCACCTGGCGCAGCAGGTTGTCTTCATGATGCCTGATTGGAATGTTCTCATACTCTGCTGCGTTGGAAATAATCTCAATAAGTCCTCGAACCTTGGTTTTAGCATTCAAAGACATGCTGAAGAGCTCTGAAAGAAAATGAGAGAACATGAAAAGAGCCAATGGTAGGGGAAAGGGAACAGAGTAACAAGAAATCAACTGCCTGGGCTGCACTACTTTCTTGCAATACTGGCCATCACATCTCATCCCAAAGGACTCCAGAAGCCCACGTGCCACTAGTCCTCACCAATGGTGGTGTAGTTTATGTAGTAGTAGGCAGCAATCATGCCCAGATTCAGAGGGGCCACATCCATCTCATCCTCAATGCTGATGCACTTGGACTGCTCCAGGTCACTAAGGGTCTGTTCCACCAGCTCTGACAAGTGGTCAGACAAATGACGATGGGATATGCCTGTAGAGATGTAAGAGGGAGTCTCAGGACACTGCCTAGCAAGGGCTCAAAAACCTCCAAGGGCAGGGTGTGCTTGTCAGGTCACTGACCCTGAAGGTTGTAGTAATTGGGGTTCTGTGTCATCCGGCGATAGAGAAAGGTCCAGGTGAGGTAGTCCACAGCATCCTGCTTGTTCTCAATAGTCTTGGTGACAATCTCAGCATTGAAGTGGTCATGCATACAGTGGTCCAGATGAGACTCTACCGGCAATGGCTCATATAAAAATTTTTTAAAAAAATCCTGTGGATTGGAGGAGGGGAGGCATTAAAAAAGAACCAATGACAATATAGGGCCAAGGGCAATCCAACAGGGAATGGCCTCTGTAAATATCTACACATTTACAACAGCCAAATAGGAGAAACAATTAGGAAACAGTATTATATAATCCAAAGCAGGAATGGGATATGCCAATGCACACAGATAGCACAGTAAACAGTGCATGGCAAAAGACAACTAGTGAATGGGAAAACATGGGCATGGAAAGACACGGAATCACCAACAGTAGCAAAAATAAGAGACAAAATTCTGTGTGGCTCTAGCTTATTACAAAAGCAACAGGCAGAAAGGATGGAAGAGTGTATTAAAGACATTTAAAAAGATTCAAGAATCTGTTCCCATAACTGACCTTTTTAGAGCCTTGACACATAATGACACAGCGCCCCTCATCATCCTGCAGGGGGCGGTTGGCATGGCCCACCATCTGAAGCACATCATAGATGGGGTAGTCCACATAGCTGGTGGCAGAAGAGAGAAATGAGGAAGCATATCAGGAGGCCTGCCTGCTTTCAGTTAAGTAGTGAGATAAGGTCAAACCACAGCAAAACTGGTCATGAACCTATGTGCTTAGTGACCCATTTCACTTGCTTACCTACACATTGTTTTAGTTTCTAAGTCAGAGTCATGACTGTTACTCAATGAACCTGAACCAAAGCCAAAAAACCTATCTAAGGCTAAAAGCAAAATAGCATTCTATTAAAGGACCAAACTTAAAGTCAAG